GGGGGGGGGGGGTCTAGCTGCTCACCAGCCCCCCCAATCCTACCCGGCAGGTCATCCGGGAATGGCTGGAGAGCAGGACCCCCAGCAGTGCCCCCCAGCCCACCTCTCGCCAGGGCAGCAGCTCAGCCCGCAGCAGCGTGCAGCACTTCCACCGACCTGGTAGGCTCCCCCAGCATCCTCATCCTCCCCCAAATCGTGATCCCCCATCACCAGGACACCCCCCTCACACCACCCCATCCCAAACCCCACCGTGGGGGGGTCTGGGCAATCCCTTTCCAGAGCCATCAGCTCCTTATTCCTGCCCCCCAACCCCTTTTTTCCTCGCAGAGACCGACACGACGGAGCTCAACATATACAAGAAACCTCCGATTTACAGGCAGAAAGGTGAGGAGATGGGAAGTTGGGGGGGTCTGTCCCACTGGATGGGGCACCCCAGGGTGCTGGCCTCACCCCACAACCCCCCCACTGTGCCCCACAGAGCACCATTCGGGCGCCCACCACGGGAAGCATCTCATAGAGGACTTGATCATCGAATCCTCCAAGTTCCCGGCGGCGCAGCCCCCAGACCCCAACCAACCTGCCAAGATTGAGACCGACTATTGGCCGTGCCCCCCATCCCTGGCCGTCGTGGGTAGGTGGGGAACAGGGGCAGGTGACCCCCCTGCCCCAAAAAAACCTCATAGGGGTGATGGAGACGGATTTAACCTCCCTTCTTTCCCTCCAGAGACGGAGTGGAGGAAGCGGATGGCCTCCAAGAGAGGGGAGGAGGAGGAGGAGGACCTGACGGAGGAGATGAAGAACCTGCGGGAGCTCCAGAGGCAGGAGCTGAGCAAGGTGAGGGGCTGAGTGAGGAGCCTTGCGAGGGGCTGGGGACGTGATGACACAGACCCTCACCCATGTCTCTCCGCCCCCAGGTCACCTCCAACCTCGGAAAGCTCATCCTGAAGGAGGAGATGGAGAAATCTCTCCCCATCCGGAGAAAAACCCGCTCGCTGCCGGACCGGACACCCTTCCACACGTGTGCGTGGGGTGCTCTTCCCTTATCCCTTCCCTTCCCCAGCTGGTGGCTTTGGCTGCCTGCACCCCTGCCAGCTCCCCCAGCCCTGCCTGCACCCCTGCCTGCACCCCTGCCTGCACAGCTGCTGCCGCCCCCAGGCAGCTGCTCTGCCTTTTTCTCATTTAACACATTTCCCCTCCTCCCCAGCAGCGGTTTCCGAGGTCCCAGCGCACCTGCCAACTCCTGCATCACTGCCCACACTCCTGCCAGGTCCCCCAGCCCTGCCTGCATCCCTGCCTGCATTCCTGCCAGCTCCTGCATCACTGCCTGCATCCCTGCCAACTCCTGCATCCCTGCCTGTACCCCTGCCTGCATCCCTGCCAGCTCCTGCAGCCCTGCCAGCTCCTGCATCACTGCCTGCATCCCTGCCAACTCCTGCATCCCTGCCTGTACCCCTGCCTGCATCCCTGCCAGCTCCTGCAGCCCTGCCAGCTCCTGCATCACTGCCTGCATCCCTGCCAACTCCTGCATCCCTGCCTGTACCCCTGCCTGCATCCCTGCCAGCTCCTGCAGCCCTGCCAGCTCCTGCATCACTGCCTGCACCCCTGCCAGCTCCAGCATCCCTGCCCACACTCCTGACAGCTCCTGCATCCCTGCCCACACTCCTGCCAGCTCCCCCAGCCCTGCCTGCACCCTGCCTGAAGCCCTGCCTGCACCCCTGCCAGCTCCTGCATCCCTGCCTGCACCCCTGCCAGCTCCTACATTCCTGCCCGCACTCCTGCCAGCCCCCCCAGCCCTGTCTGCGTCCCTGCCTGAACCCCTGCCTGCCCTCCTGCCAGGTCCCCCAGCCCTGCCTGCATTCTTGCCAGCTCTGGCATCACTGCCTGCATCCCTGCCAGCTCCTGCATCCCTGCTTGCATCTCTGCCAGCTCCCCCAGCCCTGCCACACTCCTGCCAGCTCCCCCAGCCCTGCCTGCGTCCCTGCCTGAACCCCTGCCTGCACCCCTACCCACACTCCTGCCAGGTCC